ATAGGGGACGCTGGACCCGTTTTCCAGCAGGGGACGCTGGTCCCTCGGATGCTTGAGGTTGCAGTTGGAGATCGGCAGAAGGGGAAGAGCTAGGTTCTTTAGCAGCAGATATCTGGTGCCTGGTTCAAGGCGAAGAGGCTCTTCTCCTTTTCTACAAACTCCTGCTCAGTTAATCCTCTGGATTCCAGAGTAATCAATGCTGGCAGGAGATCCTGACATACTCCAAATCTTTTCTGTATTTGGGACGCTGGACCCGTTTTCCAGCAGGTGATGCTCCCCACCAATAGATGGAGCCTCTCCTCAGATGCTAGTGGTGTCTGCTCTTACCAGCACCGCTAGCACTGGAAGGGAGTTAAAAAAAATAATAATAAAAAAAAAAATTGCACTACGGGCCAAGATACAGTTTCGAATTGCAGTTCGGGGTATGTATACAACCCAGCTTTCTGGCCAGGTGGGGTGCCCGAAGTGCAATTGCAAACTGTATCTTTCCCCATAGTGCAATTATAACTCCTTTTTGTGACTCAACTGAAGTTACCCCACAAAAAAAAAGCATCCCCTGACGCCTCTGTTCATCATGCCGGCACTCCTCCTTTCGGGAATTGCCATCAGAATCATATGATCAGATAGTTTTTTTTTTTTTTTTTTTTTTTTTTTTTTTTTTTTTTTTTTTATTTTTTTAAAAAAAAAAAATATTAAAAAATAGTAAAAAAAAAAAAAAAAAAAAAAAAAAAAAAAAAAAAAAAAAAAAAAAAAAAAAAAAAAAAAAAAAAAAAAAAAAAAATAATGATTGCGGTGTACCACTGTTTCTTTTTTTTTTTTTTTTTTTTGTACCACTGTTTCTGGTGGGCCCCACTGTTGGTATTCCTGAGCCCCTACCCCACATTTGGGACGTCAGAGGCAATACTCGAAAGGGCCCAGTCAGAAGGGGAAAAAAAAAAAAAACAGAAGACAGTCTCATTTCTCACTCTTTGTGGTGTCAGTTTGTGTCAGACTCTGCTTCCCATATCGTCACCAATGGTCATACTAAGTCAAAATGATTCCCTCCCCCGCCGCCCCCCGCCCCCCCTCCTTAGTCAAAATTATTGACAAAAAGGAAAAATGGCGATGGCCTTGAGATATCAACATCGATCTGACCGGCCCTACCGTCTTCACCTGAATAGAACGCCCGGTCATTATAGCCGTATTTGGTAAACTTTTCGGTCCACATACAGCTGTAATAACCGGGCGTTCTATTGGGGTGAAGACGGTAGGTAATTCACAATTGTAGTATTTTACTCGTCTGCTTCCAGTGGAGTGGAGTTTGAACCCAGGTCTGTATTTTAACCGCTCAGGGGTGTACCGACTGAGCTAGGCCAATTGGTTATCAGAGTGTTATTATGGCTACCAGTAGAAAGCCTTTTCAGAAAATTGCAACGAGGAGAGTCTGTTTCTTTTTCTGTTCGTGCTGCTCATGGCCCTTGTCTTCGGGTGTTCCTGCGAGACTACTGTCTTCACCCAGAGAGAATGCCTGGTCAGTATTGCTGTAGCTAGACTGAAAGTTGCCCCCAATACAGCTATAAGGCCGGGGCCCTCTGTTTGGGCGAGAAGACGGTAGCAACTCGATAACTACAAACTGGAGTGCCTTTCCAAATGAAAAAAAATAAAAAAGAGTGCCTTCCCAAACAGACTTGCAAACCCACTGCCACCGAAGTGCCATATGTATAATGTACTCTGTACTTAAGTATTATGTACTACTACGTACTATGTGAGCAGGTACTATGTCTTGTTGAGTATGTACTATGTCTGGCTCAGTATGTACTATATGCCAGTTTTGCAAGTATGCCCTATTTGTGTTCCCTTGCATCAAAATATCTGCAGAGGACGAGAACGACGACGTTGATGGCAACAACAATGGGAATGGTGGTGATGATATCGATGGTCGTGACGATGGGCATCATAACTGAAGCTGACTGCCAGCTCTCGCCCTTTTGCACCCAATGCTCTGTTTTCTCTTAACTTCTCTCTCTCTCTCCCTCTTCCAATTCGTTTTTTGGATGAACTAATAATATAATCACTGTTAATAAGTATTAGACTATTAGTAACATTAAAGTTGATTAAACTTGATTAGAGTTTATTTTAAACATTATGAAGTTTCAATCCTTGAGTTATCGTTCTGCTATCTTGTCGGTTGTAATCTCGCAAACAAAATTCCAGTCTTCCAGAGGAAAAAGAGAGAAGAGGACATTAGCATGAGGATGGGAACTCTTGCATGCCCCCCCCCCAAAAAAAAATGAAGCCTGGTGCTCAAGACGGCGGTCCAGTGTGTTGGAGAATTGGCAAACGAGTCTTCAAGCGGCTTCTCTTCAAAATCCCTAATTTACAAAGTGTCACTTTATGTTACTGTGGTCTGAGTCTTTCAACAACAGACAATCATTAACCATTCCGTCATACACCGTGATTGCATTGCGGTCCTGCCATATCCATGTGCTCTAGAGTACACCTTGTCTCTTTTACTGCTTCAGCTGTCTATTCCTAAATGACCATGCCTTAGATCTCTCTTTCCACTGAAACAACCTCTCTCTCTCTCTCTCACGCGCGTGCGCGCATCGCTTTTACAATTTCTTAGGCCTCTATTTCTGCCTAAACAATCTCTCTCTCTCTCTCTCTCTCTCTCTCGCGTGCGCGCGCGCGCGCACGTCGCTTTTACAATTTGTTCTCCTAGACAACCTTGCCTTAGGCCTCTATTTCTGCGTAAACATTCTCTCTCTCTCTCTCTCTCTCTCTCTCTCTCTCTCTCTCTCTCTCTCTCTCTCTCTCTCTCTCNCTCTCTCTCTCTCTCTCTCTCTCTCTCTCTCTCTCTCTCTCTCTCTCTCTCTCTCTCTCTCTCTCTCTCTCTCTCTCTCTCTCTCCATCTCTCTTCCCTGCGTTTATCCCCTGCCACTTTACTCTGCCTCTTTCTTACAGCGTACAAGTGGGCCGTTATGGCACACGGGGAAGTGGGCAGCTCACACTCAACTTGATCACCGTGGCGAGCCTTGTATGTGAGAGGCATGGTGAAGGGGGAGTTAAAAGAAGAATGAGAAAAATGAATGAATGGTTTCAGTGTGCCCTTGTCTTGTTTTTTATTTAATTTTTATTTTTACCGTTTGTTCCGCAAAGTGCACTCTTTTAGTTCATAGATACGTGACAACATATATGCATATGTATATGGTTGTGCTATGTAGGATTGTGCATGAGTGGATAGAGGATCATCGAGCTTTCACTGGCTGGTGTAAGATCAACGTACCTTCCTTAGGTACCAAAAGAAGTCTGTCTTCTCCATTCCCATGTAGGCAACACCTGCTGCTGATCCAATGATGAGAATGGAACCACCAGTGCCAGCACAATAGGCGATGAGGTGCCACAGACGATCATCAGATGGGAACTCTGATAACCCGTACATCCCCATGGTTGCGGCGACCAGAGGAACATTGTCGATAACCGCTGAAGCGAGGCCGATCAGGGTCGCAACCAAGTCCAGGCTTGGGATGTTTGAGCTGAGGAAGGCTGCAAGCTCCCTCAGAAGTCCTGCAGACTCCAAACTTCTCAGAGACATAGAGCGAAACGGTGGGGAAAAGAAACAAACAAAACCGACAACAACGACATAAACATGTACACACACACACACACACAGACACACATGCAGCCCACGCACAAAAAAATCATACTCTTGGTTAGCTCATTACTTTTCAGCGTTTTCGCTCCTCCCAACTATGTTGTTTATATGCTCCTCTGTGTGTCTTCTGTGTTTCTTTGCCCGTGTTCTCCTTGATTGTCGAGTGAGTTGAGGACCTTCAGGATGTGCCAAATAGTCAGTTAGTGTTTTTTTTTGAAGTGCCTGTAACAATGCCTTTGTCGGTTTTTTGCCTAAGATCAAGTGTAGCATCTGTTCTGATCAGTTTAATATCTCGTCCGTGGTCCATCGGAGCACGTGACGATGAACTTTTTTTTTCCGGGGGTTCAGAGGGGTCGCATGGGTAAGCTTGTTTGCCCGACTCTTCCAGCGTTGCCTCTGTATTGCACTGCTGCAAAGAGCAGCGCGCCCCATTAAAAAAAAAAAAAAAAAAAAAGAAGTGCCTGTAACGGTGTAACACTATTAGGGGGCCTCTCTCATTCAGGATGCCTACGTGTCTGTGTTCCTCGTGGTGACGTATTTGCCAAACTGACTCCCCAACTCTTGATGGTGGAGTCAACCTACAATCTGTAGAGTCCCAGTTGTGGTGCGGGGTAGCGATAGTCCGCCTTGATCCGCACTGCAGGTATGGACTGCCTTTGTCGCTGCTGCCCTGCCCCTTGGCCTTGCTGCCCTCCTCCCTCGTCCTTGATAGATGATGATGGTTTGGAGGGTCATCCATTACGAAACGACTTTCCCTTAACCCGCCGGTACACGGCCCCAGCCTTGCAGAAAAAACAACTCGTCCCCACCGGACTGTAGCAATGGCTCTGCCAACTGGACCACAATGGCTGTCGGCGCCAGGCAAGAAAAGCTTGGCGCTCAGTAAGGCGCCTCCAAGCCCGTGTGTACTGGTGGTTTAAGTGGATGTGCAATGACTTGCTGGTTTCTGGTCGTCTATAGCCTCTCTCTTGTCGAGGCTGTACTATCTATAGGTTAGATTCGTTATTTTGTTTGGCTGAGGGCTAACCGAGAGACCTGCCTGTAAGGAAAACATGTGAGGGACATATCTGTAGATTCGGTAAAAAACAGGCCCGTACTAACTGAATTTCCTACAGCTACCCTAACTGCGAATAGCAGACCCGGGCTACCCCTAGGACAGACAGGCCCTAAGGGCCTAAGCCTGTCTCTTATACACATCTAGATGTGTATAAGAGACAGCACACACACACACACGCACACACACACACACACACACACACTCCCCTCCCCCCATCCTTGCTGGAGATTCTCCTCATTTTCAGCCCGCCCCTCCACCCTGCCACCAAAACCAAGCAGCCGCTACGTCCTTGTCTGCTGAGTGCTGGTTCCGTTGTAGGGAGAATAACGATCCTTTCACAGCGATAATTGAAGTAGGGTTAGATTAAGCTCAACTTGTGGGTTCAGGTGGCCTGAGTACACCGTGTTCGCCTCTCCAGCTCTGTTATTTTTTCGTCCTCTCCTCTCCTGCTGATGCTTAGTATGCTTACCGATGACAGTCCTCTCCTTTTGACGATCCGAATCCCCAGATGTGACTGTCCTCTACCACCTCCGACAAGTTATGGCAGACAGGTCCACCCCTGTTTTCGAGGCAATCCCTCTCTGAGAAAATCCCCTATCCCTTCACACCGCCCCTCTGGCATTTTTGTCGATTCCTGGTTTCTGCGCCCCCCGCCCCCCCCCAACCCCTTCTCCACCTGGGGTGTTAAGTGGAGTGGGGCAGCTTGTCCCAACAAGTTACCCACCAGTGGGTTCAAACTGGGCCCAGTGGTGGGTCCATGCAACTTTTTCTCCTCTTGAATTATAAGGAGACGCTTTCTACTCGTGGATGACGCCACACACATCAGTCTCCCGTTGACCCGCAAGTCAAACATAGAACAATAAATCCCCCACCATCGCTCTCGTTCCTTTTCCATCCTCTTTTTCATAAGGCCGACATCCTTGAGATACCATCATTGAAGTGACCGACCCCAGCCAATTCAGAATGATTTCGTTCGTTTCATCCGATAGTATCTGGATTTGAACTTGACTCTGTATTTCAACAGTTCATGGGTGTAACAACTGAGCTAGGCAGGTTGTTCCCTGCAGTCTCTCACTTTTTTTTTTTTTTTTTTTTTTCTGCGCTTTCCACTCTTACCTGAGCTTGCTGATCTTTTTCATCCCCTCTGTATTACTTCACAGCAGTGGCCTCATCGACCGTGGAAGAGGAAATTCACTCCTCTTATTAGTCGCGTTATGCCTCCTCTGAACTCCACCACCTCCTTTTTCAGCCCCTTACCTCCACCACCTCCTTTCCCCCCCCCTTACCTCCACCCCCTCCTTTTTCTTCCCCCTTACCTCCACCACCTCCTTTTTTTCCTCCTTACCTCCACCACCTCCTTTTTTCCCCCCTTACCTCCACCACCTCCTTTTCCCCCCCCTTACCTCCACCAATCTTTTGAGATTTTCTTCCAAGTCTTGACTTCCAATATTTCTTCACATTGGACAAATAGCAAAATTGCCGAAAACACATCCTTCAATGATCCTTGACGTGCTACGAAAATGGAAATTGCGGGAGTTGGGGTAATGTGCCCAACACATTTTCAAGATACACAGGACCCTGATTACTTAGAATGTACACTGCAATCCCGGCAGCATATCCTGCCAATGCTGGGAATGATACCTGTAAAAGGTCATGCCCCCCCCCCCCCCCCCCCCCCCCCCCCCCCCCCCACCAAAAAAAAAAAAAAAAAAAATCCACCCACACACAAACACACAGACAAACAAACAAAAAAAAAGTGAGACTTGCGATATTTTTTGTTTCAATTTCTGGCTGTTTCACTACCATATTTATTATTTTTTGATTCGCCTTCACGTAAATTAAGAAATTCCTTGGTAAGTCCTTTCCTTGAATACCGTGAAATTTTACGCCAGGCAAATCTTCGACTCGACCTCCTCGAACCACAACAATAGAATGCTCTTGTAAATTATACAATGAGACCAGTATGCATGAAACACTCGGACACAGATCACCACATCACACCGCACTCACAGATGTCAGACGAAGTCCAAAAGAGTCCACACAAACTTGGTCGTCTTCTCCGTCACCAGCGGCTATGGCCGCTGAGCTCAGCATGTAGGTCTCTCTGTCTCTCTGTCTCTCTCTGTCTCTCTGTCTCTCTGTCTCTCTCTCTCTCTCTCTCTCTCTCTCTCTCTCTCTC